TCTTGAGATCTTTGAGCTAAGCTTGGATGCGGGGAAGCGGGAGAGGCGGAGAGTCCGTCGAGATGCAGCTGGTTCGCGGCGTTCGACACCGAAGATCGGACCGCCCAGACACGTAGTCACGATGCGAGTCTCCCACTGGGTTCGCCAAGTTGCCTCTCACTCGGGCTGGCTCTGGAACCCGGCGGTCTCTCGGGCGGGATGCCTACGCTTCCCCGAGTGAGCAGCCTTACAAGCAAGCAAGCAAGCAAGCGCTTTGGATGAGTCTTACGACTGTGTTCAATTGTTGCTGCGAATGGCTGTTGCAGCAGATGCCCTTCTGCCAAGTCTCCAAATCCAGAAAGAACGACTGGGTGCTTAAAAGACCCCACCTGCTGTAACTAACACAACAATGAAACACCTTTGCCGTGATTGGACGCTGCTTCTGTGGAGAAGACTCATAGCTGCAGCACATCTCCCACAACTTCTGGACGACGACACTGGACGCCATTCAAAAACAACGTTCTATGCATCTACTTTCAGATGCTTACAATCGCACAACGTCCAGAATACTCTTGCGGCTAGCTGATGTCGCTAAAAGGAGCTAAGGAAGACAGGACGCTCCGCAAGCAAAGTTTTTTGCTGTTTGGCTCCTCCTCATCGGCTCAATGCCATCCAATCAACCCACTCCGCCGTCCGTACTCCCAGCTCGTTAAGCTACATGCAGGTCTAGCAACATGAATAACCTACGGTTTTGTGATGCCGATGGCGGAGTCGGGCAACAATATGTCGGAGAGAACGCCGTAAGAAACAATGCTGCTCGTCTTCAAGCGTTGACGATGCCATCTTGACTTCAGGTGCCTTGGAATCCGAGCGTCGACTCCGGAATAGCCAGTGCTATTTCCGCAACTCATCTCCCGTCTCCCAATTCCTTTTCCCGTGTCCCTCTCCCCCGTTACCCCTCCATCCAATCCAATTCTCCTACTCATGGACCAACAAAAAAAAAAGTCAATTGACTTTGGCTGCTCCCCACTCCCGCCCGCGGACAGCACCCCGATTCCCCCCTCCGATGAAAGCTGGGATGACCCGACGACTCTGGACCCGGCCTCGAGCGCGTCGGCAGCTCTCCCAATAGAAATGCACACAATAAGCAGCAGCTCCAGGTTTTCCAAGGGGGGATCTCTCCCGAGCGGACCTATCCCCCCGAGCTTTGGTGGGGGAGGGAGAGCGCCGTAGCCTGTGATGCGAAAGTCGGGTGCTTCTCCCCCGCCTTTGGAGAGCTCTCCTCTGTTTCCTTTGCTGTTTGTTGCTGCGAGAAACAGAGTTCAAATAAAGTCACTGCCCCCCCGTTCGCCTCACCATCGTCCCACACGATTCTACCTAGTAGATGCCTCCTTCATCATACCCCACGACTCGTTGACGACATCGTCTTCCTTACACCAACAGACGACGCCCTACCTCGGCAAACATACACAGCCGACTTCGAGGCCACAGTCCAATCTTTCCCTCACTCTCTCTTCCCCCGCGACGTAAAACCAACACACCAACCTGACTGAAACACCTCACCAACGACGCAGCTCGAAACGCCCCAGCCTCGAACGAACAAACAAACGAAACAGAAAAGCAAAGCAACCCTCACGATGAGCGCCGAGCAAACAGGCCAAGGCCACGATGGCGGCTACAGCGACACCAGCTACAAGGACAGCGCCGACTACCTGCAGTTCAAGACACTGCCCCCCGGAGGCCCGTTGAACCGCTGGTCTCACGTCTTGACGCGTGAACATGACTTCCCGGGAGCAAAGGCAAGTCAAGACACATAACAACAACCACCCGACAGAAGGAACCTTCTTTTCAGAGTTGGGGAATGCGGGGTGGTGGCCGGTGATGTCGTGTGGTGTGTGTGGGAGTGCGGGGTGGTGCACCGCGGGGACCGCGGGGTACACGCGACAGCCTCAGACGAGAGCTGGGAAGAGAACCAGAAGCTTACCAAAGGTTGCAGGCCATGCTGTACGGCGCCGGCGTGCCGAACCCGGAGATGATGGAAAATGCGCCGCATGTCGGCATCGCGACGGTGTGGTGGGAGGGCAACCCTTGCAAGTAAGTGACTCCCTGAGCTGTGGTGATGATGCCAGCTAACACGCGATACAGCACACATCGTGAGCATCACTGTGCATCAAGGACACGAACACTGCATGATGGCTGACGGAAAAAAGTCCTCGAGTTCGGTAGGATCGTGAAAAAGGCAGTGGAGAAACAGGGCATGCTCGGCTGGCAGTTCAACACCGTGGGCGTGTCAGACGCTATTACGATGGGCGGCGAAGGTGAGATGCTTCTCTACCAACCAAACAACCCTTTTCATGTCGCAAGCTAACCAAAGCCTCCTCAAGGCATGCGCTACTCCCTTCAGACCCGCGAAATCATCGCCGACAGCATCGAGTCCGTGACAATGGCCCAGCACCACGACGCAAACATCTCCATCCCGGGCTGCGACAAGAACATGCCCGGCACCATCATGGCCGCCGCCCGCCACAACCGCCCCTTCATCATGATCTACGGCGGCACAATCATGAAGGGCCACTCCGACCTCCTCGAGAAGCCCATCAACATCAGCACCTGTTACGAGGCCCGCGGCTCCCTCACCTACAACCGCCTCCACGCAAAGTGCAACCCCGGTGTCGAGGGCCGCACCCCCACCGACGTCATGGAGGACATTGAGCGCAACGCCTGCCCCGGCGCCGGCGCCTGCGGCGGCATGTACACGGCCAACACCATGGCCACCGCCATCGAGGCCATGGGCCTCTCGCTGCCGGGCTCCTCGTCCTACCCGGCCCTCTCCCCCGAAAAGTCCCGCGAGTGCGAGCGCGCCGCCGAGGCCATCAAGATCGTCATGGAGAAGAACATCCGTCCCAGGGACCTCCTGTCCCGCGCCGCCTTCGAAAACGCCCTCGTCCTGACCATGATCCTCGGCGGCTCGACCAACGGCGTACTGCACTTCCTCGCCATGGCCAACACCGCCGACGTGCCCCTGACGCTCGACGACATCGACCGCACCAGCAACCGCATCCCCTTCATCGCGGACCTGGCCCCTTCGGGCAAGTACTACATGGAGGATCTCTACCGCGTCGGCGGCACCCCCTCCGTCCTCAAGATGCTCGTCGCCGCGAACCTCATCGATGGCTCCATCATGACCGTGACGGGCAAGACCCTCGCCGAGAACGTCGCGGACTGGCCCTCGCTCGATCCGAACCAGAAGATCATCCGCCCCCTCTCAAACCCGATCAAGGCGACGGGCCACCTGCGCATCCTGCGCGGCAATCTCGCCCCGGGCGGCGCCGTCGCCAAGATCACGGGCAAGGAGGGCCTCTCCTTCACCGGCGCCGCGCGCGTCTTCGACAAGGAGCACGAGCTCGACGTCGCGCTGTCCGAGGGCTCCATCAAGCGCGAGGACGGCAACCTCGTGCTGATCGTGCGGTACGAGGGCCCCAAGGGCGGCCCGGGCATGCCGGAGCAACTGCGCGCGAGCGCGGCCATCATGGGCGCCGGCCTGGACAACGTGGCGCTGGTGACGGACGGGCGGTACAGCGGCGCGTCGCACGGGTTCATCGTGGGCCACGTCGTGCCGGAGGCGGCCGTCGGCGGGCCGATTGCCCTCGTGAGGAACGGCGACAGGGTGACGATCAACGCGGAGACGAACCGGATCGACGCCATTGACGTGGACGAGGCCGAGTTCGCGAGGAGGAGAGCCGAGTGGAAGGCGCCGCTGCCGCATGTGCGGAGGGGCGCGTTGGGCAAGTATGCTCGTCTAGTGGGCGATGCGAGCCACGGTGCTGTTACAGATCAAGCGGATCCTTCATGGTGATGTGTGCCTTATTGTCTGTTGGCTAAGACTTGTTGATACATTTTGGTATAGAATGAGGACATACGCCACGATGCCATTGAGGAGGGAGACAAGAAGCGCATGTGGCAAGGGTGTCCCTTCATCCTAGACTTCGGGAAGGAGGCAACATTGTGGGACCCATGAAGGTAGGTTTGCGGGATTCATTTGCGGTGGCCCTGGGCATGGTCGTTTCTAAATATCTCACGATACCGGTCCCGGCGCGGCGCCCCATTTTGATAACCATGTAAATGTCAAATATGATCCAGAAATACCTAGCTGCCACATAATTCCAGCAAGTCAGCCCCCACGAACTATAGCGCCAAAGAATGAGACATACCATACCGGGCCCAAGCCAGTTGATCCCGAATATCAAGTGACAAAGTCCTGTGAAGAACCTGTGACGTAAAAGTGTAGAGTCTCACGTGCCAAGGGAGGAAGATGCATGCCTCCTAGATGTCCTGCACGGATTAGCTCAACCCATAACCACACAAACCAGGCGGCACTTGAAGACGAGAGATCAGTAGACACGACATATATACCATTTGCGTCGGGCCTTCCCGACCCGACATGCTACTCTAACATTGAAAGTCTTCTCTCTCTCTCTCTTTCCAGAACCAAACATCCCATGTTCGTTGTTTGCATCCCATCCAGCTTGGTATCCTGTGCGCGCGTAACAAGTCTCCATTGGAGTCGTTTCTCTCGTCTCTTGCTCTCTCTCCCGCTGGCCATCGAAAGCGAACTTGACGAGCGAAAAACAACAAAATGATTCTCTCTGGCGTCGGAACTTAATCCGAGCCGAAGCTGTTTCTGTAGCTTTCCACCTCTCTATTTCATGCTTCGCAAGGTTCCCGTGCAGTGCAAAAACAAAACTGATTATGGACAAAGGCCGGAATACTGTGAACCCTGATAACTCCCAAAAAGGATTTGTGAGCAAAGACCGATACTGGCAATGCCGTTACACCCCCCCCCGCACGCAGAACATTAATGAGACATCCTCTGGAAAGACCCAGGGAGTCTAAGCGTCTCCGCTTTCATCAATATACAATCCCGTTTTTGGTTTTCGTTTCCACCCAACATTTCGCGCCAGGATATGGATGCGCTGGCCGTGACTCGTAACATCGTGTGTGATGTGGTTTGTCGTTTGGGATTACGGGCTGGCCCATCCGCCGGCGACATCAACCCATTCCGCGAGGCAGGATCCTTCCTTGCCCTCGACGTCAACAATGTCAGTGTCGCATCTGCAGCGGCATCCAACACCGTTCTCCTTCTCCGAGTCCCAGTGCTCCCAGTAGTCGTCTTCCTCGAATCGCTTCTTGTCGTCGAGCGTCGTCTTCTCGAGGTAGGGTTCTCTGGGGAGCTGTCGGGCCGGGGCGTTGGCGGGGCAGTGCTGGATGGTCGTGTGTCGGTAGCCGAAGTCTCGGAAGTAGTGGATGTCCTTGGGAGACAGAAGTGCGCCGGCTGCCAAGGAGTGGATGGGGGCGTCACCCCACTGATACTTGTTAGCTTGGGGCAGGCGATCATGCGAGTATTGACTTACGCGTTCCATCCAGAAACCTCCGCTACGGTCCATCATCTCGAAAAAGTCCTCGTATTCCTTGCTGCGGAACCACTTCAAGCTGGCAATCTCAAAGTTGGACCAGAAATGGCACATGTTGTACGATTCGCCCTCCATGGCCTCAGGATCGATCTCGGGCAACGTGTTGCGGTTAGGGTCGCTGCGCAGAACTTCCTCGGGAAGGGGCGTCTGATCGGTCGGCTCCTCCTTCTTCTCGGGGACGGGGTCAACGAACATCTCCCACAGGCCCTTGGACTTGAGACCCTTGAGGCGCTTGTAGGCAGAGGCATATCGGAAGATGTTGGGGACCGTCTCGCGGAGCTCCTTGACAGCAATGGTAAAGCCGTAGGTCTTGTTGGCGTCAATCATGGCCCAGAAAGGGTCGCTGCTCTGGTTAGCAAAGGCGTGACAACTGGTGAGGCTTGGCACATACTAGGTGATGTCGCAGAAGTACTTGATCTCGGGCTCCAGACGCCAGTACCACTCGTACTTCTGGAGGAGCTCGTGCTTGTAGAAGAATCTTTGATGTGGTCAGTCATGATTCGTAATCGAGACAATGGGTTGCCGGCTTACCCAGAGTAGAAACGGCACATGGCGTGGTAGCTCTCTAGGCCACCGTACATGACAGCGGCGTCGCCCTGCTTGGCGATACCCTCCTTGGCGACCTTGTGGTCAATCCAGTCAGGGTAACCCCACATCTCGGGGCCGACCTTGCCAAATTCGACAGGAGCCGAGGTGTAGTTGGTGACGACCTCCTTGAAGGTCTCGTTGAAGTCGCCGTCGTTGAGGAAAACATAGGGGTAGTGGTACCAGCGGTTGAAGTGACGCTCGATGGACTTGATGGACTGGATGACACCGTCCAACTCCTTGTTGCGAGCCAGGACGACGAAAGCGCCGTTGGCCTTGGGTCTGCTCGTATCGGGCTGGAGACATCCGGTGACGAAGACCTTGTCGTGCTCTTCACTGATTTTCCTGTGCGCCGCCAATGTTAGCTCTCATCAATGCTTTGCAGCGAGGTAAGACATACCTGATGGCCGGAGGAGCGCCGGCGGGCATCAATATCCTGCCAGGAGAGCTGGGGTGTCTGACGAACAGGACGAGGATAAGGATGACGACGATCAGAGGGAAGAGAATGACGACGCCCAGAGGCACCGAAATGCTCGAGTTGCCTCGCAGGCGCAGCGGTCTTCTGAAGAAGGCGAGGCGCGAGGTGAGCCTGTTTTGGCGAGCATGTTTCGTGGTGGGCTTCTCGTCGGCGGTGGGCAGTTGAGGCGATGTCGACGGGATGGCCTTTACGGCTCGCCTAAAGAGATCCATGGCTCAGACGTATCGTCGCCGACGGGTGATTTGCTGGGGTAGAGGGCAAGTCGAGAGGCAGATGATATCTGGAGGGATGTCGGGACGAGAGTTGGGATGGCTCCAAGGATGGGGTGGAGGGATTTGGCGTGGCGTCGATTACAGGGTGGTACCTCAGGATAAGGGGGCGGCGATTTCGAATCGAATGCGATGGCCGTGATTATGATTGTGGACGAACACGCGAACCGCGGACAAGAGCAAAGCCGTATCTAAGGGAAGCAGCGGAAAAAATTGAATGGCGGGCGATGCGAATTGCGAAGTAGACGTGAACGAGCGGCAGGGACGAAATTTCCCTCGAGCTGGTCGGTGATGGAGGTGGTGTTCAGGTTGGCGAAGAGTGGCACCGAAGACGGTCGATGTGCGACAGGCGGGCTGAACAGATTTCAGAGCAGCACCTTACGCGTCGAGAGCCGGAGTACCTCTTGCGCAGCAGCGACACAGTAGCGGCTGGTCGGGGGGCGAAGAGGATACGGCAGTCGTATCAGTAGCGGCAGCGACAACGGGAGCAATGTCTCGGTCGTCTTTGTGCTTTGTGCTTTGTGACGCTTCGCCTTTGGTGGGAGAGGTGGTCTCGGTGGATGTGTGGTGTGGTAGTGGTGGAGGTGGTGGTGGTGTGGATAGGGGACCGAAAGTCAAAGGGCCTTCAGCGCCTATCTATCTCTCTCTCTCTCCGCCCGAAGATCTGACGGGGTGAACCGAGTCTCGAATATCAATTGCGTCGGGGGGAGGTCTCGGCAGGCGACATAGGTCAGGGGTCTGCGCTGGCAAGTCGGCCGAACGCCGCAGTCGTCGTCAGATCGCGGGAAGATGGTCTTCGAGCTCGAGGGGTCGAAGGTCGAGGTCGAGGAGAAGGTCGAGTTCGGAAGGGTTCGTGGGAAAGGGAAGGGAGTTGGAGTTTAGTTGGCGACGACTCGGGAGGGAAAAGGGAGCCAACTTTTTTTTTCGGGGGGTGTGGGAGGAGGAAAAGCTGACAGATGTCACGGATGGGAGAGTCCAGGCGAAGAGCCGGAGGAGCAGGAAGGGCAGACAGTGGTAGGAATACTATGACAGCAACGCCTTGGACGGGAGAGGTAAGGTAGGTAGGTGAGGTAGCGAGATAGGGGACTCATAGGGACTGTTCATGCGCTGGAAGGGATGGATGGAAGGGCCACCTTTGTTCCCGGTCCAGTCGAGGCACTTTGGATGGAGGTTTACGGATACCTACCTCTCTACGGCACTAGTGCGGTTGACGCTGATGTGAACAGCAAGCACAGTTTACTGCGCAAGTACACTAAGGTACTCGGTATCAGTACAGCAGATGGGATTAGGGGCAGCCCCGGGTGGGTGAGTGGCCTCTGCGTCGATTACCTGACTTGACCTTACCTAACGTTAGGGGATTTGCCCAGGTGCCCAGTCTCCAACATGGCATCCAAGTTCCAACCCACCGACGTGTGCAAGGGGATGGGATTCCACTCTGAAAGTCCAGACTGTTCGCGTCTGCAGCACGGCTGGGAAAAGTGGTGGCAGTGGCAGCGGACGTGGGTTGCGCGGAACTGCTGCACCAAGCTGGAGCCAACCAGACCGGGGAGAGGGAAAGCATGGTGGGGACGAGGGGGCGTCGAGTGGAGCTCTGTTGGCTCAGACACGATGTGTCATTGGAGGAAGCGTCCCGCCAAGACACGCGGAAAGGAGCAAAAGGTGGGGCTTCTCCTTTCTCACGCTTGCTGCCAGGTTCACACTTGCTGCTTGTGTTGCTGCTTGTGTTGCTGCTTGTGTTGCTGCTTGTGTTGCTGCAGGTGGTGCTGGTGCAGGTGCAGGTGCTGGTGTCGAATTCTGGATTTCGGTGCCAACTTTCTGCTTTCCGTCTGCTGTTCTGTTGTTCTGCTGGTGTTCTGTTCTGGTGTATCCGTACCTTACGGGAAGGAAGCCCCGTCCGTCTGCTGGGCGTCGGGGTCCTTCCAGACGTGTCCAGAACTCCGGCACCAGCTTCGGTGCAGCGCATTGCGCATTCAATCAGCCGGCATTGCAGCATGGGATTGGCAAGATTGCTCCTTCCTGCTCCCAATCTCACTCCCGGAGTCCCTCCTGCTTCCTGCCTCTCGTCCTCCTCCTGCCCTCCTGCCCTTGTCTCCCGCTCTGTCGCTCCTGTCTGCGCCACGCTTCCCACCTCCCGTCCGTCCAATCGTCGCCCACACATTTCGTGTTTATCCGATCCTCTCCCGACCGTGGCATTCGCATGGAACTCGTTCACCTTCTTGGCCAATCGCGACTGCCGTCGTCACGAGCGTCAAGCATCCATCCTTCTTAGCGCATGCAACGCTCCCGCTCCCGTCATCTCTCCCAAGTTTCCCAACTTAGCAACACCGGGAACAGCTGGTCTCACCTGGGTCCAGCTGCGCCTACCTACTGGCAACTGCGGTACCCACGGAGACAGCCTACCCACCACCGCCAAAAACCTTGGTTGAACTCGTACCTTAGTGTACGGAGGTAAGGTACAGGCACCGGCACCGGGCACGGCGGGCAGCAACAACGAGATCGGCACGCGGCACGCGACATGCAAACTGAGATAACCATGATTTCAACTTTGTGGATAACTTTGATATAGATAGCACACCTTACACACTTTTTGAGGGGGGACTGTACACGTGTGAGCCTTCCAAGGTAGGCATCCCCGATATCTTACAGATTGGATCGTCATTGCAGCCGAAAGTTAAACATCCATGCCTCTGCCGTGATCCGGTCCAGTTATTGATCCTTGGAGAATATCCTCTTCTCCTCGTATCTCATCCTGTTGAACACTATGCTGTACAGCGGATTCCGCAACGCCAGCGGCACCATATCCACTAGTAGTATCTGTACCAGGTGCGGCCAGTACGGTACCAAAACTGACCGTCCGCATCCCACCCGATCCAGAATGGCGTTGGCGATTGTCTCTACCGATGGCCAGAATAAACGGGGACTCATGAGGTCCGTCTTCGTTGCTACCGCTCCGATCCGCACCCCAATGACCTCCACGTCGATGCCGTCCATCCGCAACTCTCGTGCCATGGACGCCGATATCGCGTTTACGTATGACTTGCTTCCAGAGTAGAAGGACAATAGAGGCCAGCCTCCATCGGCCAACGATCCCACGTTGATGATGAGCGCAGGCTCTGCACTGCTCGAAAACCGCGGGATCATGATGGCATTGAGTATCGTAGGGAAAAGCGCATTCATGTGTACGTTGGCCGCGATGTCTTCCATCGACGATTCGTCCAGCCGCCGCATCATTGGCATCTGACCACATCCGCCAACATTGTTGATGAGAACCCTCAGGTTGAGGTTTTCAAGCGGCGCCAGCATCAAGTCCCACGACTCGGATCCAGCTCCCAGCACTCCCGCGTCGCCGACCATGGTCCTAAACTCCCGCTCCGGGTGCCTCAGTGCGAGTTTGTGCCTCACTTCCTCCAGCTTGACATCGTTACGCCCGTGCAAGACAACATTGAAGCCTCTGTGTGCAAGCTCATTTGCAAGCCCTTTGCCAATGCCGTCACTGGCTCCCGTCACCAGCGCCCACGCAGGCTTTCCGTTGACGGCCTTGAGGTAGCGATCAAGCTTCGGCTTGTTGAAGAAGGGAACCAGAAACCAACCGACGTTGTATACTGCAATCAGGAGGGAAAATAGCCCTAATGTCCGGAGAAACTCCTGCGAGTCCATACTGAAGACGTATCGCGTCACGAAGGGGAGAAATAGAGAGAACAGCGAAGGAGAAATTCTGGCCCTACAGTCAAATGTTTCCATCCACCACCTTTTAAGACGTTTGAAAAATACTAAAACATACATGTGAAGGGGCCAAGTAGACGTCATGAATTCAATCAAAACGGTCGAATTGACTCTGGGAAACAGGGATGGCCACACCAGGCCAAACAATCCAGCTTCATGCTTTGCGGAGGGAATGTGGCCATCCGAGGGTACGAGACCGAGTCGTCCGTGATACGGATACGCTTTCTCGGAACATCGACATTCCCACATTCCCATCAGGAGCTCCGAGCAGCCCGCAGGACCTGTCGGCGGCCTGGGCTGCCTATATAGTTTTTCAGCAAACTACGAGTTAGGCTGAACTCTGATTCGGTGCCCTCCTTACTGCGACCACTTTGCCTGAACCGCCAGGCGCACATGCGGAGAGCGTTGACATCAGACGGAAACCGAACTGGTAGCTTGAGAGAAGGCCCAGCATATTTGCATGGGGGTTGGTATACAATGTCTGTACATACAAATCGCCGAGAAGTAATGGTACAATCGAGCTTTATTTTCGTTTTCATCCCCTTCCGCATCCTCAACTACTGGTGTAAAACAGTAGTTTAGAAAAGGAGGTTCTCCTTGGAAACCACCTTCTCCTCCTTCTTCTGCACCTTGACCTTTCCTGTACGCTTCTTCGGCACGGGGACCTTGAAGTATAAACTGGGCGACTCGCCCTGCTTCAGCAAGTGGCTCAGGTATCCGCGGTGGGCGGGGTCGCGGTAGTACTCGATATCGGAACGGCTCGTGGGATCGGGAAGTCTGTAGAGGAAGGGTTTGCTGCGGGCCGTCTCGAGGTAGGCCTCGACGTGCTCCTTGCCGAGGGGCAGCGGTTTGTCGGTGTTCTCACTCTGTCCGGCCAAGAGGCGCTTGATGGACTGTCTGGTGTAGAACCTCGTGAGGATCTTGCCGCCGGCGTTCTCCACGGCCTCGATGGCCGAGGCGGAGGCGCGGGAGACCATGATATCAAGGGGCTGGCGGAGCTCCCCCTTGCCGCGGGCGAGCAGCTTGATTCCGTCCTTGACGCTGCCAATAAGACCCGACTCAATAATCTCCTTGACGGTGATCTGCTTGGTGGGATCCAGGCGGCCGGCGTCGATCCACTCCTGGAGCTTGTCGAGATTGACCTTGGACATGATGGGTGCGCGCCTGCCTTCTGTTAGCTTCTAGGCCCAACGTGAACATGCATTGTCGCATTTGAGCGC